TGCCCTATCCAGACCGTTTTCCGACCTCATTCCTGCACAAATGGTATCAGAGGGGGCGTCGAATTCGAACCATGCGCAAATCTCCGAAACCATTTTTTCGTGAACAGTGCTTTTAAGTCACGTACGATATGGGTTTGTGCGTCCGTCCGCAGAAAGTCATGTAAGCACGATGAAGGTTATGAAGTGTCACGAGGGCGCATTTCGACATCATAGAGGGAAATGTCACGAAATTAGAAGTCCATCGATATTGTATTGATCTCACTTACCAATAGGATCACTGGGTGATGTGTTGCAGTGGCGTTGGCGTGGGCAGCCCAAAAGGCCTTTCCATATTTTACCAACAACTCTGTGCATGAGCCCAACTGGTCTTTCCATATTTTACCAACAGCTTTGTGCATGTACAATACCATGGACAGCTGCATTTACTCTGCAACTGGCTCAGCCTATTAACAAAAAGTCGAGCTTTATAATCACATTGGCATTTGCAATGATTGAGACGGATCGAACTGAGTAGATCTTGACATTGCAAAAAAAGCACCAATAGCCGATTTCAAGAAAACTGCTCGGCGAATAGCTTTGGGACAGCTTCTGAGAGGAGAATATTTCCGACTCAATCCAGCAGCTTGCAAGCAATCAAATCTGCAAAGCAGCCTCATCAGTCGAAAGAAGCAGCCGACACGATATTGGAAGAGCTTCAGAATTTCATGAGTTTGCAAGAAGAACAGCCTTCTTATAATTCTGACCCACTCTTGAGAGCGATTTCTACCCTCCCTTAAGTCTTTCCATCTAGTGAGTTTAGTGGGACCACTATTTCTTCCCAAACTTGAGGTCAGAAAGCCTGCAGGTCAGCTGACAATGTTTTCTACCACCAATCCACTGTTTGTGTAGAATGTGTTCAGATAGACAAGATGTTTCTTGTGGGCAAGTCACGAAAGAAGATGAAGGATAAGAGGAGGTATGGTCATTAGAACATCCTTCATCGAACTTCACAAAGTTTCTATGAGACGCTGACGTTTCCCTCTCGTCAGCAGCGAAGAAGACCGTGAAACTATTTTAACTTAAAGCTCGTTTGCTGGAAACTATTTTAACTTGAAGCTCGCTCGCTAGCAGAAAAGGAAAAGGTTTCATCAGTGAAGGCTGATTTCACGATTTATTTCTGTAAAACGACAAGTTACATTATTTCAATCAGCTTTGGGATAAAGGTACGAATGGATGGAGAACGGATCGAAAAGGTTGCATGATGGTGATGCTGATGGCATCAAGCTTTCGCCGAATTCCCCTGAAAAAATCATCATGTATTAATAACAAATGTTTTCGAGCGAAGCCATTTCCTTCAGTACATTTTGTTTGCATAACCTTTCTCAAAAACCATTTCTGACTGTTTTGATAACCATTCAGGCAACAGCTGCGAAAGCGTTTAAATTCATTTGATCATCTGAGGACAACCTCGAATATAGACGTATTGCTACATAGAGTCAACTGTATTAACACAAAGTGCTCGCGAGGTCATCACATCGCTGAATATATAGGGAAATAAAAGCTTTGAGGAATGGAGGAATCATGAGTGTGTATTTACATGGCTCTCACCATTCCTCAGAGGATGAATCCGATCACCCTCGTCGCTACACTTTGCCTGGCTTATTCAGTTGCTGGATATTTTGCATGTCTAACTGACGGAAAATTTACATTCGATTTGTTCGGCGATATTGAGAAACCCCATAGAGACCTCCTCACAAGATTTCTCAACAGGACTTTCGTACGTTACCACAGGAAGATTTCGTGGATGTTCAGATCAGCATAGTCTTAACAAAATAACATTGCAGGACGATGGCGATTTAGTGCTGGAATACAAAGTGGATTCCAGCGGATACGATGGCGAAGTATACATGAAATTCCCATCGGTTATTCTACGAAATGTTCGTGCATATCTTTTCAAGTCCAGTGTTGGCGATTGTACTTTCATGAGTTCCTCAACCATCTGCTTGTAAATGCTTTGTTTCAGAACAAGCGACCAATATTCTACATGTATAAAATGGAAGATCACAGTGTTCGAAGAGTTCATCCGTGGGATTTCATGAATTATTTGACCTATTGCAAGCTTGATCCTGAACAATTAGAAGATTATTATTACTGAAGATCCTTCTTGTCCTTGTCCTAATAAATTTCTCCTTGCTTTTTTATGATGGTGCAGCATCATTTCTCTTCCCATAAACCTTTGATTGCTTCCGTAAATGGTAGAAAGCTAGCCAAAAAAATGTTTCCAGGCACATCGAAGAGTGATTTTACAAGGATAATCATCTCTGGTTTTTGAGTATGAGGGCCAATGGAAAGTACAACTG